AACCAATAAATCAATCCAGCTCCTGGAGCTGTTAAGCCAAAGATGGCCCCAGACCTTCATTTCCTTTAGTCCAGACTATTTTAGACCCAGCCTAACTGGGTGATTCATAGAATATCCCAAGCTGAAGTTCCCACAAGGATCCCACAAGGTGACAAGTGCCCAAGGCCAGGCTGGATGGGGCTCTGAGCAACCTGGGATCGTGGAAGGTGTCCCTGCCCCTGGCAGGGGGGTGGAATAAGATGAGCTTCCCTCCAGCCCTAATAATTCCATGCTAATTCTGTGCTAATTTACCTACCATGGTGGAGTTTGTCTTAATCTGGGTACCAAAAAGAGGTCCAAAGTTTGGAAATGGCACCAAAATAGGTCCCAGAATTTGCCCTGGGGTTCTGTTGGTGACTGGTTCTTGCCCTGAAGGGGAATCTGGTGGATGTGCAGAGGTTGGGGGGTCTGGATGTGTTAACCAGGGAGGTGGGGGGTGGAACTTTGTCTGGAAAACCCCTCATGGGAGAGGCCATCCCCTTTAAATGGATAAAACCCATCTTCCACCAGCAAATGCATCTCCCCCAGCACCTGACCTGCACTTGTGTTCTCCCAGCCAGCAGCCCAGCAGTGCTGCCACATGTCCTTGTCACACAGGAAGGGCAGGCAGATGGGAATTTTCTCCTTGCTGAACTCGATGGGGTTGCTGAGCAGGATCAGGGCGATGTCGTTCTGCAGGCTGCTTCTGTTGAACTCCTCGTGCAGGATCAGGCTGTCCGGGTTGTACTCCTCCAGCGGGAGGCTGAGGTCAGCTCCCCCCGCTGCCACCGTCAGGTCTGGTGGCCTTAAAAACACAGCAGGACACGGTAAACACGAGGGGTTTGGGTTATAAAGGTTGGTGCCTCCTCCCCAGAGCAGGGCATGGTGGTGGCTTAGGCAGTTCAGCTGGAATTCCCAAGGAATTCACCCTCACTCCTAGGAAAGGATGATTTCCAGGGCAGAGAGGTGCAGAGGTAGAACGTGAATGCAGACAGGTTGTGAATAGCAGTCACTACCACACAGATGGAATGGCCTGGATCTTTTGGATCTCTGTGCCCTGGGCTGGCTGCTCAGACCCTGCTGTCCCCAGCCAGCTGCTCCAGGCTGTGCTGCCTCAGGTCATTTGTCACCGAGCAGTCTCAACTGCTGGACCTGCCACGTTTTGGAGGGGACTCACAGAGGGCTGGACTCTGCCCCTGGACACTGCATGGAGTTGATTTATCCAGAGCTTGGTGTTTTAAATTCAGAGTCTCCATGAGGTAAAGGTGTTTGCTGTGCAAAGACAAAGGGGATTTGGGGGCTACAATGAGCTAGAATGGAATACATCGCCTTTTCCAGGGGACTGGAACAGGTGCAGGTGCACAAGAAATTCTTGGGGCCATCAGAATAGCATTAGGAGCATTTATCCAAGGTTGCTCAGGCCATCCCTCAAAGAATTCCCCATCTGCTTCTCCTGGTTATGCAGATTTCTGCACATTCCCGTGTTCAAAAACGAGCCTGTTTCCCCCAGAGGAGACAATCCCTGCTTTCAGGGCTCAGCCACACCAATGTGGCACGTGGAGATGCACATCCTGCACCCACCAGGAGGAAAGTCATCCCCTCACTGTGCCTGGGCTGCCCTGCCACCCCTGCAGCACTCACAGCTTGTCTGCGAAGCAGTGGGCTGCAGTTAAAATCCACAGTGCGCTGATGATGGTGCCTCCACAGATGTGCTTCCCGTGGCTCTGGATGCTCACCAGCCACGGGAATTCCCCAGGACTGACATCTGTCCCGGTGCCAATCCTCTTGCCAGTCTTCTGGAAGGACTCGTAGGATGGTCGGAGGCCACACCCTGGGTACAAAAAGGGACATTTTGGGCACATTCAGCAGCCTGTGCTGCTGAAAGGCAGGGGCAGGACATCCCTGAGCACTGAAATAAAAATACCCATGGAATCAGAGAAACACAGAATCACAGAAAATCAGAGAAACACAGAATCACAGAATGGTTAAGGTTGGAAGGGATTTAAAAATAATTTTTCCAACCCCAGCTTCCAGCAGACAAGGTTGCACCAAGCCCCATCCAACCTGTGTCTTGGACATTTCCAGGGATCCAGGGACAGCCACAGCTTCTTTGCAAAACCTCTGCCAGGGCCTCCCCACCCTCACAGCCTGGAGTTCCTTCCCAATATCCCATCCAGCCCTGCCCTCTGGCAGTGAGAAGCCATTCCCTGTGTCCTGTCCCTCCATCCCTTGTCCCCAGTCCCTCTCCAGCTCTCCTGGAGCCCCTTTAGGCCCTGCAAGGGGCTCTGAGCTCTCCCTGGATCCTTCTCTTCTCCAGGTGAGCACCCCCAGCTCTCCCAGCCTGGCTCCAGAGCAGAGGGGCTCCAGCCCTTGGAACATCTCTGTGGCCTCCTCTGGACTCTCTCCAGCAGCTCCACGTCCTTCTGCTGTTGGAGCCCAGGGCTGGAGGCAGCTCTGCAGGTGGGGTCTCAGCAGAGTAAAGGGTGAGAATGCCCTCCCTGGATCTGAAATACCAAAATCCATGACATCCCTGTCACCTCCCCAAACCAAAATTCTGCCAAGCACTGCCCAGGAATTTGGGGTGGGAGGGACCACTGACCACGTCCCATAGGCAGGTGGGATAAAACCCTTGTTTAGGGAGTGGAAGGTGCACCAGGCTGCAGCACAGGCCACATCTTTATTCCCCCAGCAGAAGGAATGAGCCCAGCCCCATCTCACTTACCCACATGTGAATATTCTGCAGCTCTTCTGCGCTGAGAATGCTGAGAAACAAAACCTGCCTGGGCACTGCTGGTCAGGGAGGCTAAAAAGGAGAGGGTAAGAAGAAGCATCTCCTGGTCCAGCACTCTCCCACAGCTCTCGGAGCAGCGATGCCTCTGCAGATGCCTCAGGACACCGCCCGCATTCCATGTCAACACAACCCCGGCTGACATCACAACACCCGCTCCTTCCTCTTGCTGCAGCACTCAAATGCTCCTTCCTAAGGCAGAAGGGTCACTGAGGGAAAGCTCAGGGATTTCCAAAAGGTTTGTGACTTCCTCAGCTCTAACAGGGACAGGGCAGAAGTGAAATTCCTGTCTGCATCCTGGGCTAACCTCACAGGATATGGCAATGGTGCATTTCATGAGCTGGGTGCTCCTTGCTGGATCCTGAACCAGCTTTGAAGATCTCAGGAGCTGCTCCTGTATCAGCTTTCAACTTCATCTCCAAAGCCTATCATCATGTTAATTTTCTCATTTCCTGGTGATTTTCTCTCCAGTTAGAACATGCCTGGGGTATTGACTCGAGTGTACATAAATAGGAGAGTTGCCCCATCCCTGGAAATGTTCCAGCCCAGGCTGGACAGGGCCTGGAGCAAGCTGGGATAGTGAAAGGTGTCCCTGCCCATGGCAGGGGGTGGGACTGGATGATCTTTAAGGTCCCTGCCCACCCAAACCATCCTGGGATTCTGTGTTTGTAGGAGAAAGCAGCAGCTCTGTCACACGACAATATCCAAAGAGTGCCCAATCAAAACTATCAAATCAAAATCAAAATCAAATCAAAGATGTCTGTAAATAATTCTGAGTGGTAGCAAAATATTTTGGTATGGACCAATTGTAGTATCAATGGAGCCATTATGCTGATTTTTAGACCAACACATCATTTCCATCAGGACAGGACCCAATAAAAACCTCAGCCAGGCTCAGAATTGAGAATATCTATAATAAGAGCTTTTCCCAAAGATTTTCCAGCTTGTTTCAAAACAATAACTACAGCACGGAGTAGGAGGGGAGGGAGAGGAATGGAAGAGAACCAGAAGTTATTTTATGAGCCTCCAGATGACTCAGAACCTGAAATGCTTTGCCTTGGAGCACATCAGGAGTCATCCCACCAGAGTCTGGATTTCACTGAGGTTGACAATGCATAGGATGAGGGTCACACTTTATTTCCCTCTCTTCTTTGCTTCTCTGTCACTTCATGCCAAGGAAATGAGACACAAGTGCTGTGAGCCCTGAGAGAACTCCGTGGCAGGACAGGTTAGGGGCAGGATCAATTACCACAGAAAGGAAAATTCCAAATGTGCTGTGGGCACATTTTGGGACATCTCCAGAAAGAGCCCAATGGGGAAATCCTGCCTGAGTCAGCTCCTGTAAGCCTGACCCAGGTGTGATCTGCCAAGAGGACAGATTTCCTCTGGATTTGAGACTGGGATGAGCTCAGCATCAGCTGAGGAGCGAGGGAAGATGGGGAGCTGATTTTTCTGGCACGGACTTGCTGCCCATCTTTGGAAAGAGCAGGCAGGGCTGCAGCACTGGGTTTACAATCCCAAACACTGACTTGGTGGGGCACATTTTCAGTCTCTCCAAGCTTGGAGCACGATCTGATCTGCTGCACAGGTTCAGGAGATGTTCAGGGAGCTGGTTTGGGCCTTTTTGAGCTTTAAAGCTGAGTTGGAGAGCAGGAAACACCAAACCAAGCTGTGGAGAGCAGTGCCATGGAGAAGGAAGTGCTGTGGACTTGTGTCCCTCAAAACTGGCTCACTCCTTGAGCTCTGGACCCACAGGATCCCATTTCTATATGGGATAAATCGTGCATCCCCGCATCCTTTTTCTGCAGCTTTGAGTCTGCACTCTGAGAACCCCATGAATAAACCCCAATTTGATTTTTTTTTTTCCCTTTCTGGATGTCCTTCTATTTTGACTGCGCACTCACTGGAAACTGCCCCAAGTTACGTTTGCCATGAGTTTGCTCTTGGTGGGGGCTCCCCAAGTTATTGAAGTAGGAATAATTAATCTTAGGGATAATTCTACTCAGTAGAATTAGTAGAATAGTACTACTGTACTGTCTTGATTAAAAGTCCTGGTGTTTAATTAGCAAACTGCAGCATTTTATAATATTTGATGATTCTTTTTTTGATCAACCCAGATATCTACTTGGAACACATCACAGAGAACATTGTTCTTTTCTTGTTCTGTCATTTATTGCAGAGCAGGAAACAAAACTGATTTCTTTTTTGTGTTTATTCACTTCTTGGAACTGTCAAAAAGAAGCATCACATTACAATTTTGACTTTTTCTGGCCAAAATAATTTCAGAGAATAGGCAATACAGGTGGTACTAAATGCCATGAAAGCGGAGTTGTGGTAGGAGAATCACTGATCTGGTCAATTCATCATTCCCAAAGACATCAGATTCCAGGGCTGTGACAGGTAAAGAACCCAACCACATCTCCAGAAGTCAAAGCTCTGGGAACACCAGGAAATTATTTAACCTAAGAAGATCAACAAGCCCAAAGGCGCTGGAAATGTGAAGCAGCTACGGGTGCAACCACCTCCTAATTCACCCTTTTAACAGCATTCCGAGGCAAACTTTCGGAAGTTTGGATCTCTTTCCACCTCTCCAGACAACAAGGAAACCCCGGGAGCTGCACAGAGCAAGAAGCTGCGACAGGACCAGTTCCTGCCTCTACTTTGGCTCTTGATGTCAACAAGCAGAAAACTTATGATTACGGAAAGCCTCCCCAGCAGATTCCCGAATCTTTATCCAGGGATGCTGGGGGAACATCCACCGGGGCTCCTGGGTGTGTTTTCCCAAGCTCTCTACAGTGAGGAGGAGGTGGTGGAGCGAGCACAGGCTATGTCCTGAGGCCGATGGGGCAGGAAACCCCCGTCCCGCCCAGGCCGCAGTAGCCGCCGGGATTCTTGCTGAGGTACTGCTGGTGATATTCCTCGGCGTAATAAAACTCGGGAGCCTCCCGGATCTCCGTGGTGATGGGGCCAAAGCCTCCCTTCGTCAACACCTGTCAGGAGAGACCATGGAAAGCCATTAGTGGTTTGCTGTGAATGGCATCAGGATTCCTCCCTGAAGGAGCCACAGGCGTCTCTCCGCGCGCGTTCCCGGCTCACCCCTGAAAGCTTTCCATCCCTGCCCTCGTGGTGTTCTGCTCGGAGACATTGTGGGCACAGAGAGGGAGTGAACCGTCCCCTTTTAATGGCTCATTTGTTTAATCTGCCACACTTTTATTCTCTTTATTATTTTTTATTCTCTTTGTTAACCCGGGCAGTGATGTGGAGCCATCAGGGAGAGCGCACTCGGATCCACCCTGGGGAGCTGCAGTGTCCGGGGACGTCCCCTGGAAGGTGCCTCGGCTACGAAACCCACCCCCAATGTCCTTGTCCAAGAAGAATTTCTGGGTGAAATTTCAACCCCAAGGATATCCTTGGGAAATCAGAGCATTTAGGCTTTTTTTTATTTTATTTTTTTTTCTTCTGCAGAGTCACTGCAAACTCATTCTTCAAAGAGAAAAGTTCCATCTTCACCAGAAAGTTTTAAGGCAAATTATGGCTCATTTTGGAAAGATTTGCCAATATGTGGACCAGGAGCAATAATCACTTGGCAGGAAGAGAAGATGGAATGTGGGTGGGGACTTTAAATTAGACTTTAATTGCTTTCTGATATCCTCTAACTGAATTTGGAACTCCTGAGAGGTTTCTGACAGGGGAAATTTCTTTTTAAGATGAATTGCTGTGACATTTTCCCCACTGCATTGTCCTTTCCTATGAAAACTGGTAAACACCAACATTTTGGAGCCAATTCTCTTCTCATTGGGGACATAACTTGTGCTCTGAAATCCGTGCTAAAACCTAATAAGAGCTTTAATTAATGTCAGAGTCCTGTTGCAAAGTGTAGTTATAAATACTGGATGTAGATAGAATTGATTGAAGGGTCAGCATGTAGGATTCCCATAAAAATATTTGTTACCTCATTGTAGTATTAAATATATGAAATACAAATAAAGGGAAATCATCACATGGAATCACAAAATGGTGAATCTGCCATCAGTCATCAATCCCATCCTCCATCATCATGATGGACTGAATGATAGCAGCCTTGATGGCAAAAAACATTGGTTGTGGAAGATCTTTGGAGATGGAGGTCCTCATTCCAATATTTTCCATCCTGTTAGAGAGTCCCTCCTAAGCCTAGGAGTTAGTAACACTCCTAAGCCTAGTTAAACCCAGTACTTTCATTCAAACCCAGTATTGTGGGTTTACTCATCCTGGACATGGAAAGGAAATCATTCCCTTCCTCCTTCATCTCCTGCATGGCTGGGGAGAGGCAAGGATGGCACACAATGGAAATACTGGGTTTAAACAATGGGAGATTATCTGGGACAAAAAGTCTTCAAATCTCCCACACTGGGATTTCCCAGATCCTGCCCCAGCACAGCCAAGCCCTGCCCACAGCCTGACAGCAGCTGCTGGGCTTTGGAGAGCATTACTCTGATTTAGTCCCACAGTTTCACTGTCTAAAGGACACATTCTGCTGTGTTCAGTCTTCAGTCAGGAATGAAGTGATAAGGTGGATACAAAATCCGTGACTGACCAGCCTGGAGAGCCCCGAGTTCCCAAACCTGCACTGGAATTCTCAGCACAGCTTTGGAAAGTGTTGACTCATTAATTGTTCCTTGTGGGAACACAAGGAATTGGGACCCATTCCAAAGGAACCTAGCCTTATGTCCCCATGTAAAATCACCAGCCAGCTTTTCTCCATCTTTGGGACAGCCCTTGTCCCAAGGGAATCAGGTTATTCACCTGTCAGGTGTGTGAGTAAAGAAGATAAAACATGTGAAGGTTTGAACCACAACACCTCAACAGCACCAAACACACTGCAAATGCAGTCAAAATTGGCCCCTCCCCCTTCCCTGAGTCATGAGGATGCTCATGCTGGAGGGGGAGAGATTTTTCCACTCTGCAAAACAGTGTTTGTTACAGATTTTTAACCTGGGACTTTTCCATCATTGGCCTCATTTTGTCAGTTAGGAAATCCATTCCATTCGATGAGGCACCACAAGAGGGCATAAACATCATTTATCCCTTCCCAGCCCATTCAAACCTGACTAAAGCAGAACCCAAGATGACTCCTTGTACTGCACTTTGGTCCTGCTGTCAGGAGCAGTGGGAACCCCAGGCTCTGACACCCTGCCAAATCCCACCTTGGAGATGTTTGGATTTTAAAGGGGAAATTATTTTCCTTGCACTGACAGTGTTGATGTGAAGATAAAAACATCACTGGGAGAGATGGGGACGTTCAGGATGTGCTGGCTCTGGCAGGTGTAAATCAGCCCACTCTGGATTGATTTCCTGCCACTGAGGCTGATATAATTTAATGGTAATCCTGTTCTCGAAGACTTTTTAGTCCTCTCTGCCTCAAAATTCCTAAGCCATCCAATGGCACCTCTCATTACCATGCTGCAATTAACCCTTGGGATTTTTAACTCAGTGCAGGAAATTTTTAGGGACCCATTGGATAACTTTCCCCTCCAATAATCCACTGCAATTCAAAGAGAATTTATTCCTTCAGAGGATTTCTGTGGCTTTTGTCATGGGAGAGATCAAAGCCCTGAAAGATTATCGACTCCAACTGTTAACCCAACACTACCAAGTCACTGCAACATCACAAGAAATCCTTTAGCTGATTATAATCCAGCCCAAAAATCCTGTCAGGTTCCACCAGGAAGGGGCCAAACCAAACCAGAACCCAAATCTCAGCCAGCTGCAGAGGGGACACAGCCATCCTGGGACACTGGAGAAGCACTGGAGTAGGAACAAGGAATCACAGAATCATTAAGGTTGGAAAAGACCTCCAGGATCATGGAGGT